ATCCATAACTCTAAATCTTTAACATCACATAAAAATTTCTATCATTATTAATTTTTTAATAGTGAAATACACATTTTCATACAAAGGTTTGTGACACCAAAGTGTTATAAATGTAATTATCAAGCTCCCAGTGTAAGATATGTCAATACTTAAGAATTGTGAGGTGTATATGTAAATTTTCCTTTAAATAAATCAATGTAACATGATACAATTGTGGAAATTGTTGAAAGTATATACAAACTAGAAGTTCATAATATTGATAAAAGCCTGGAATAGCATGAATCAACAATCAAAAACGGTTTCAATGTCACCATAAAGTATAAAACATCCAGAAGAGCAACATATGAGCCATGAAATTCTAAGCACAACAAATATCCTATATCGATAAATCTTTTTGCTTAATCTATCAACAAGCCCAAAACTTTGTTGCTGGAAAACTCCTCCTATAACCTCATAGTTAGAGGGGTCGTTTGGCATCCTATGTTAGGTTAGATTAAAGTAAGATTTACAGGTTTTATGGTAAAAGATTTAAGTAGGATTTAACTTAAATCTTCTCATGAAGAAAAATTAGAGTTTAAATTCAATATCTCCTCAATTTTGTTCTCAGTTTTTCCTTAACTCCTGAATTTATCAGATGCTATTGTTGCAGTATTTAGTAAATCCAAATTTTTAGGATTTGGATTTATTGAAACTGCTAGAAATTTAGACCCTGCTGTTGTGATAACTCCTATTCCGGCCTTGTCATCAATCAAAACAGAATTCAATAGACCCCACAATTCACATTATTTTAGAAATTTTAAGTCTTTCTTTCTCTCAAATTTCAAATAAAAAAAAAAACAAATAGCAAAAAAGTATATTAGAATTAACAGAATTCAATAGACCCCACAATTCACATTATTTCAGAAATTTTAAGTTTTTCTTTCTCTCAAATTTCAAATAAAAAAAAACAAATAGCAAAAAAGTATATTAGAACTAAAAAACATTCAGTGGTGGTCATGCGGAACAGATTTCAGGCCTTAACCCTCTCAAGCCATACTAAACCCTACTTTATTTGATTCAGCGTGTAGCCAGACAGCATGTTAAGGTAACAGGATCAAAAAATGGAAAAAAGAAACCAGATACATCAGTTCAACCGCTATAAACAAGCACAAGAAAGACGAAAATACATACCCATAAAAAACCCGAACTAAGTTTTTGGATCGATATTAACCAGAAAGAAGAGCAAAATAGAAAGCTCGTCAATCAGATTCCAAAGGATAAATACAGCGAGAGAAACAAAGAAAGCGGAGCATGGATAACGATAGGTTGACCTTGGGCCTGCTGATGCCGAAGCAGACGGGGTTGCGCGCGTTGGCTTTGAGGACTGAGGAGAAGTAGAGACATCCCTTGCAGGACTTGCCCTTATACGAGGAGGCCCTGGGGCCCTCTAATGATGGATCGGAGGCGGCGCCGCCTCCGCCGGATGATTCCTCCATGGCCGTCAGTCTATAGCTTCGCCTTTGCTCCAACTCCGCGGGTCTCGAGGTCCGGCGACCGGCGCTGATCACTCGGATCGTGGTGGATGGTGTTAAGTTGGATGCGAAGAGATGAACTTCGGTGTAAATTATGATACATCGGGTGTTTTTTGTTTAAGTATCACACAATTCTTATATATTTACGTATATAACACTAGGGGGTATGCATGTAAATGCCCCTTTTAATAGAGATAAATAGCCACGTTACATTATTTATGTTTTATTTAAACTTTTTAGATTATCTAGACTAAAATTAGCAAAATAAAATTGTATTATAAAAATAGCTCAAAGTGAAATTTTATATAATTGCAATATCAACCACTTAAATATTTAGAAAAAAATAATCTGGTGCAACAAAAAAGTGTTGATCTCACAAGAATCCAGTGACCTAGAAGAGAGAAGAATCATGAAGAAGATTCTCTGCGAGACTTTTCAAGATAACGGTGTCAGAACACCCGAGCCAAAGCGCAGCCCGCCTAAGAATCCATTAAAATGATGTTTGAACTTATCGCTTATGACCTCGAATGAGAAATGTCAATCCAATAGGCGAGCCAACCCAAAATAAGAGTCAGCATCACAAGTATCTTCAGGTGGAACCACCCCACACACACCAATCAATCTACAAGAAAGAGATTTTTGTGGTGGTTTGACCGAGCCAAGCAGATCAAGTCAAGCCAAAGGAGTGAAGATGACTGATTTGTGTCGATTGAGCCAGACTGGCTGAGCTAGGCTAACTCTGATGAACACATGAGATCAAAAATAGACCAGAAGATGAGTTGTTGATCATAGACTACCAAAAATATCTTGAGAAAAAAATGGCACAGGTAAGTATTGTACAAAATCATCTATAAATAGAGAAAGTATTTGTTATAAAGGGGTGTTTTCCTTTTTTTTATCGTTCAATTGAGAGAATATAGCTCAAATAGTGAAATCATATCTCCCTTTATTTTTCCTTTCTGCTCTATTCTTGTGCTTTATTCATTAAATTTGATTCACGAACATTCTTTGATTCATAATCTTAAAAGATACGATGAGTGTGGCTCATGTCATTGACAAAAATATGAGCAATGCAATTAAAAGGATCTCACATCACATGTTGTTTTTTGGTCACATGCAGCTTTTAGAGTCATATGGAGCTTCTGGGAAGGACCCAGTGCCTTGCCTTCTTTTGGTATGGTTTGGTCTGGTCACGCCAGGTCCTGGTGCGTGACCACACCTGCCTGGGGATGGCCATGCCTCCAATTCTGTTGTCGTGGTCATTTCATTCCTCGTTGACTATGTCACATGCAGCTTTTAGAGTCATATGGAGCTTCTGGGAAGGACCCAGTGCCTTGCCTCTTTTTGGTATGGTTTGGTCTGGTCACGCCAGGTCTGGTGCGTGACCACACCTGCCTGGGGATGACCATGCCTCCAATTCTGTTGTCGTGGTCATTTCATTCCTCGTTGACTATGTCACTGATTTGTAACATTTGTCTACGGATCTTCATCCCGATCATCCATTCGATCAAACGACTGAAAAAATTTGGCAACCGCCAACAATTGCAGAAACGGACGGAGTAATTCTGTTCGTCGATTTCAGTCTTATCAACAGCCCAACTTCCTATAAAAGGCGGATGTTCTTGCCTCCAAGAGGGGGTCCAAAATCAAGTCAATGTGTGCTTCAAAGTATCTCGAATGCGTCTAACCCGTAATATTTTCTGTTGTTTTTCTCCAGCGAACCTTCTCCTCCCATGGTCAGTCTTCTCCATTGTAAGACTTTTTTCTCTCTTTAAGTTAAAAGTATTTCAAATCAAGTTTAAATATTTAAGTTTAGGAGTAGGTTAGGTTAACTCCACAACCTTGGACTAGGCTTGGGTTTGGTTTCGACTCCGATCGAGCCGAACCCCGACCTAATCTTAATTCAAAAAATGGTTTAACCCAAACCCAAACTAGGTATAACCCAACCTGAACCTGACCCAATCTTGACCCGACTCGGCTCAAGTTTAGTCCAACCTAACCCAAACCTAACCCATGCCTGACCCAACCTAACCTAAAGTTAACCTAGGTCTGACCTAGCCCATACCTGACCCAAACTAGACCCGACCAAGCTCAAGTCAAGCCCAATCTAACCCAAACCCTAAACCTAACTCAGCTCGACCCAACCCAGTCCCGATCCAACCAAACCCAAACATAATTCAGGTCTGGCCCAACCCAAACCATACCCAACCAACACCCGACCTAGCTCAGGTCTAGCCCAACATAACCCAAAATTAACCCAGGTCTGAACCAACCCAGACCTAACCCAACATAACCTGAACCTTAATCCTAACCCATGTTTGACCAACCCAAACCTGACAAAAACTAGCACAAACCCTAATCCTAACCTAGCCTGACCAACAACAAAACCCTACACCTAACTTAGGTAACCCAAACTTGATTCAACCTAGCCCTGATAAATCATAATCCTAATCCAGGTCTGATCCAACCCAGACCTGACCCAACCTAGACCCGACCTTGCTCAGATCTAGCCTAACCTAACCCAAACCAATTGGGGTCAACCCAAGTCGACTTAGGTCAAACCAGATCAAACCCTAATCTACTGGGATCAACCCAAGTCAAACCATAATCTACCCGGCTCAACCCAAGTCAACCCAAGTCATCCCGGGTCAACCTAAGTCAACCCGAGTTAACCCAAGTTAACCTGGGCCAGCCTGTCTCCACTAGCCTCCGACCCACAGCTGCGCCATAGTTAATGTTTCGTGTTGGTTGGAGCAATGACGACATCATATTTGGCATGAGCGGCATAGCTTAATTTTAGAGTGCACGTAGACCCAAAAATTTTACAAAAAATAAAATTTTATCTTTATAAATAAAAAAATATCATACCAAACATGTTTTATATTTTTTTATTTTTAAAAAACACATAAATCATTACCACAACATACACATTTTCTAAAAAAAAAAAAAGAAAAAAAAATCAATCTCAAACAGACCCTAAAATTTTATTTATTACCACAACATACACATTTTCTAAAAAAAAAAAATCTCAAACAGACCCTAAAATTTTATTAATGAAAGTGATATATAGTCTTGTTTAGCTCAATCACATTTGCATCAAGTTTATTTTATTTGACCATTACAAGTTTTAATTTTCTTAAACTATAAAATGATAACTTTAATATATTAAAATCGCATGTGTGCATTTAACATATTTAAAACCTTTTGTTAAACATTTGAATTAAAATCGCATGTGTGCATTTAACATATTTAAAAACCTTTTGTTAAACATTTGAATATACACGAATAAGTGGAGGGCTACATTTTCAAATTAAGATGACTATTTTAAAAATATATTAAAAATTGCTTCTTTACTTTAATAAACCTCATAAATATTCATTTACAAATACATAATTTCACAAAATGCCCCCGAGCCGCGGTTCGTTTCCATCGCCACTCGACCGGTCTGTAGCCGGTTTGCCCGGTTCAAGATTTCGCAGCAAAATGACGTCCGCAGCTTGAGAAGCTTCTCGCCGAGCAATCTGGTTCCCCGATGGAGGAATTGGAGTGCGTTTCGTTCGATGACGATTTCGGGGAGGAGACCCTAGACGATGACGTAGAGATGGCCGACGCGGAACTCGTCGGAGACGGTGGATTCGGTGCAGGAGAGGTGGATTCTCTGCCCAGAATCGGCGGCGGTGGCGGCGATGGTGGTGGAGGCTGTGAGGGAACTGCTAACGGTGGAGGCGGCGAGGACATGCGGTGTGATTCGATGGGGGGATCGAGAAGGAAGAGGAATAAGAAGAAGAAGAAGAGAAAGAGCGGCTCTAATACCAATATCACTGACATCAACAGGCAGGTTTTCTTTAGTCGCAAGACTGTTGTTGGAAATGTGATTCAGAAATCGAAGAAGAAAGAAACGCAGTGGATGTACTTGCCTTATGTAGATTTATTGCATTGCGTATTTCTGTTTATCTACTGGCATCGAAGGAGGGAAGCTTCTGATGCATGAGCAATGAAGAATTTATATTGTGTTAGGGAAGGTTTTCTTTTACTTTTGCAATAGTGTCTCTCCAGCTTATGAATAGTTACTTTTAGGGCTAAGTTGAGTAGACGGTAGGATGGGTTCCAATGGCGGTTAATCGTGTAGCTCGGAGGCCAAACATTATTCTGATATTGGTTTGATGGATTCAAAGGAGACAATTAGTTTTTATGAAGATGCTTCAAAGGAGGAAAACGAAAGAGTAATTCTATCCCAATATATTTATTCAAGATCCTCTGTGATTAGTTACAAATTTATAGCTTAGTGAAAAGTTGGGCATCGTGCAAATGCTCCACCATAGAAATTATGCATGTGATTTATTAACTGGAAGGATCACTTGAGAAGATGAGCAAGGTATTTCGTTTGAACAAGAAGTAATTGTTTTCTGATTTAGTTTGAATAAAAGGTAATTGTGTATTTGATGTGATTTAGGTCAATATCATCTTTTAAGTGCTGTTCTTATTTTTGAGTTATTATGAACCTTCAATTGATTGCATTTGTAGCAGAAATTGGCATAACAAGTCGAGATACTCTCTCTAGGAGGCTCTACAAGAATTTACAAAGATAGTATAAGAGCAGTTTAAGTGCAAATTAACAAAAGAAAACAAGACTTACTTACAGAATTTCCATGTGATTTTTGTATGTAGGGGGTTAATTATGAAGTCAAAAAATTAAACTTTGATAAGGTTGGGTTGAAATTCATCAGGAGGCATATTTGGATTGTTTTGTAGTTGTATTTAATTTGGATAGTTAAATGAGGGTTGTTAGGAGTATTAAAGATGAATTTATATTTAAGTGCAATTAGATTATAATTGAATTTGAGTTTATTTAGATTTGTGTTTGATTTCCTTATTCCTAACTGTTGTGGGATGTGTACTTCCTGTTATAGAAATGAAACGCAAAGAACACAAACAAAGACATATCGTTTACGTGGTTCGATTCAACTGGATCTACGTCCACGGGAAGGAATCAATCAAATAGTTCACTAAGGTAAAAAAAAATGGAGAATACATAGCTTATACATAGAGATGAGCCCTCATCTTTCTTTCATGGCCTCACTCTCAAGCGACACCTTGATACAAGGCCTCAAGCTGCTCTCATCCTCTCTAACTCTCTAGCTATTCTCTCATCTTTTGTGATAGCTTAAAATCTCTTCCCTTGCTCTCCTAGGCCTCACACCCTCTCCTCGCCCCCTCTCTATTCATAGATGCAAGAGAGTGGTAGGTGGGAGGTAGGTGGGCGGTAGTTGAGCAGTAGGTGAGATGTAGTAGGTGGCGGTGCCACATTACAAAATTGCTCTTTTACCTTAGTTCATTAATTGGGGGTCAAAATAACAATTCTCCACCTTGACCCCCAATTGAGAAGCTTCAAAGTAAAGATTCCCTCCACCTGGCCCCTGAGGGGCCCTCAGCCCTTGCTTGAGTCTGCTAAGTCCAAACAGTACATGAACTTAACAATCACGGTTCTTCCGATAAGAGAGTATAGCCCCTTTTTCCTGACTCCTTATATGACGACACCAGGGCCTTTGGTTACTCTGATGCAGCCATTCTCTGCCTTAAACGAACATCCGCTTGACTCCAGCGTACCTAAAGAAATCAGATTTCTTTTGAGCTCTGGTACGTACCTGACATTTTTCAGTACCCGTTCAACTCCATCAAACATCCTTATCCTGATTGATCCACTTCCAACAACCCTGTGAGCTTTATTGTCTCCCAGTAGAACAGACCCATCATTTTCCTGTTGCAGTGTCTAGTCATCAGAGACTACGCTTGCTTCTCCTGATTCTTCTGGCTCTTCTTGATTCTTATTCTTCCTGTCTGGGCAGTTCCTCTTGAAATGGCCGTCTTTGTGACAATGATAGCACTTGAAAGATCCCCTTGATGACTGATTCCCGATATCCTTGCTTGACCTTAATCTGTACTGACCATTGAATCTTTCTTGTCCGATCTTCCTCTGACAATAAGACTGTCTCCGCTGACTTCCTTGTCCCTATCATGCTTCCTCTGAAGTTCTTTGGCTCTAATCAGAGATTGAACCGCCTCCAGAGTAATAGTCTGCACTCTTCCATAGAGCATCGCATCCTTGAAATGCTCGTAGCTCTTAGGAATAGAGTTTAGCAACAGTAGTGTCTTTCCTCATCGTCCATCTTGACGTCGATGTTCTCGAGGTTGTCGATGATCTTGTTGAACTCGTCGATCTGCTCTGAGACGGATTTGTCTTCATGCATTTTGAAGGAGTATATACGCTGCTTCAGAAAGAACCTATTAGCCAGAGACTTTGTCAGATAGAGTACCTCGAGTTTGGCCCAAAGTGCTTGAGTCGTTGTCTCCCTCGACACCTCCCTCAGAACTTTGTCGCCCAAGCTCAGATTATCAAACTGTGGGCCTTGTCCAGTATGCCGATCTTCTCCTTCTCGGTCATGCAGGCCGGCAATGCCGCCGACCCTTGCAAGGCTTCTGCAACACCCTGCTGCACCAATAGAGCTCTCATCTTTACTCTCCCTTTTCCAGCATGTCGATCTTCTCCTTCTCGGTCATGTCAGCCGGCAATGTCGCCGACCCTTGCAAGGCTTCTGCAACACCCTGCTGAACCAATAGAGCTCTCATCTTTACTCTCCATAGGCCGAAGTCGTTCTTCCCATTGAATTTCTCAATGTCGAATTTGACGGAACTCATTGTCGTGGCTAGGATTTCTTCCAATGAATTCTACCTGTTGCTCTTCCAAGATTTAGGCAAAAATCACCAAAATGTTGTACTATTGTATAACAACCAAAAGTTTTCAGCCTAAACCTGCCTTTTAACGCATTAATGTCCAAGAAATTCTCACCAAATTTCTTGCCTTCTCTCCGTGAACTCCACTCCCTTCACCAACCTAACGGAGAGCTCCGATCCCTTCTGACAGAGATCACACCTGTTCACCGGAGAAAACTTCATGTTCTGTGCTCACGCCTCCTTACAGCAGGCACTCCTCTGCTTCCAGTGGAACAAATCATGAATTCCTCATCTGCCTCTCGCACGAGAATAACTGCCTCTCCAGAGTCGTCGCGCCTCGCTAAACTGCTCAGGTCCTCCTGCTTCGCGAACTCGAACTCCTCTTCTTCGTCGTTGGCCGCAAACACCTTTACGCGGACACCTCTAGCCAAGAAGTATGGATCTTCCCACAGACGACGCCAATTGTTGTGAGATATGTACTTCCTGTCATAGAAATGAGACGCAAAGAACACAAGCAAAGAGAGATCGTTTACGTGGTTCGATCCAACTGGATCTACGTCCACGGGAGGGAATCAATCAAATAGTTCACTAAGGCAAAAGAAATGAAGAATACATAGCTTATACATAGAGATGAGCCCTCATCTTTCTTCTATGGTCTCCCTCTCAAGCGACACCTTGATATAAGACCTCAAGATGCTCTCCTCCTCTCTAACTCTCTAGTTATTCTCTCCTCCTTTGTGGTAGCTTAAATTCTCTTCCCTTGCTCTCCTAGGCCTCACATCCTCTCTATTTATAGATGCAAGAGAATGGTAGGTGGGAGGTAGGTAGGCGGTAGGTGAGCAGTAGATGAGATGTAGTAGGTGGCGGTGCCACATTACAAAATTGCCCTTTTATCTTAGTTCATTAATTGGGGGTCAAAATAACACTAACAATAGAAGACCTTTAGGATGGTTTGTTCAATTTAAGTAATCAAATTTATTTTGAGTTATTATACATAGCACTTCGAACATCAGTAATTACTTATTTCACACTCAAAACTCTATAGTTACTGATACAACACCTATCTTTTGTCAATATAGAGAAGTTAACATTCACAGTTTTGTCACTCTATCCTTTTCGTCCGTTTATCACGAAGCTCATTGATAGATCCATCTTCCTCGGTTTCTGCTTCAACCATATCGTTTGTAGTGGATCTTCGTACTTGGTTTTTCTTCAATGTTTGGGATAACGCAGCTCCATGAATGACTTGGATCGGAGTCAAGAGATCAAGTTCATCTCTCAAAAATTATTTGGATCCATTTTATCCTCGTTCAAGAGGCTGAGATTAGCATATATTGTAATGTTGAACATATATTGTAATGTTGAAGTGGGGGAAGTACTCTAGGGACAAATTCAGATAAAATTCATGGAGAGTTGGAAACAATCTCTCATAATTTGGGAGATTTTATTGTTATTTTTCTATCCGTGGGCTGACTATGCGTCCTATTCTTCTTCTCAATCATGGTCAACGACACGGAGTTTGCGCACGAGTTTATTCTTTTTTATGGCGATACTATCTCTGACAACTTTGTTGACGTCGACCATGATATTTTCTATGGCATTGACCATCCTGGCCTTGATCTAATTCTTATCACCTGCTCCCTCTCAGGTTCTCTTTATTTATTATTATTTTTTTTTTTGTGATGAAATTTGCTTGACGTATTATCTGGTTTTATGAATTAGGTTTGTGTTATTTTTTGTTTCTATTCCCAAACTTCTTCAATAGAGTATTTTGCATTACCACTCTGTTGGTGAGCTCAGTGATATACTGAAAGGAGAGGGAGGACTTATGAAATTGGTGTTATATTAGTAAATATAGATTTTTGAGTATGATATATATTAATAGTGATGTTTAAGTGCCATGTATGTATAACTCTCAACCATTTTTCTTCAAGTCTCTATTCACGGACAAATCATCCCCTTTTTCTCTTAAATCTCATCACCAGAAGTTCCTGTGATCACCTCGTGGGTATTTTGGCTTACCTCACGTGCTTCTTATTTAATCAAGTGATTTAAAGCTTTATTTTTTTTTCCATTACTTGATTCCCTGCATCTTTGCTGTTGATCAGCGTCTCTATTTTGACCTCCATCTTCCCAAATCGCTACACATGGAACAACTTCCTATCCTATCCAAGCCAGCAAAGGTGGAGGAAAGAAATTAAATCTTGGGGAAAACCTAATTAGGGCCTAATTAGGGTTTTTTTTTTTCCTGAATAAATTAGATTGACTTCATTACACAGTATTCATATTGCTAGGGTTTTGTATTTCTTTTGATTGAATTTTTATAGATACACTAATTCAAGAAATCATTGTTCCAATTTTCTACCTTGTTTTTAAGTCCATTGCACTCCTAATATCACATTGTATTTTTAGGAGTTGTGCTTGTTGAGATGGAGGTTGTAGAACATAATATATTAGCTGATTTTGAGAATAAACAAAGAAGAGAAGACGCACCAACAAGGGATATATAGGAGTTGGAAAGCAGTAAAAAGGAAGGGTGGAAAAATTTAACTTGGCTAGAAGTTGTGCTTGTGCTTACAGAAGTTCACACCACTTATTTTTCATTTGTGGTATCTAAGTGAACAAGGTTATTTTTCAATACTAACCTGTCTACTGCAGCGGTGCTGTTCTCTGTTTCTCTCTCACCATTGTATATGTATTTTAAGATTCTCTATTCCATGAAAACTCTAGTTTAACCTTAGTTTCTTTCATTCTTTCAGGTCCCTTCCTGTAGGAATGATTTATCTAGAAACGAGTGCATAAGATCTTTTTACCAATGAATTTATTTTACTTATAGGGAAATTTACATACATGCCACTCAATTCTTATGTATTTACATAGCTAACACCCAAAGTTTGATATTTAAACTTATAACACCTTGGTTTCATAAACCAATACATGAAAAGGTGTATGTCACTTCTAAAAAGGTAGTGATGGTGTTTTTTTTTGATGTGATGTTAAAGATTTGAGTGGTATGAATGTAAATATGAATGATTATATGTTTGATATGTAAATGCATAAGAATTGTGTGGTATGTATGTAGATGCCTAATACATTGCTTTCCAAATGAAATGTTACCGTTTCTTCCGTTTTATTGAAGATGTTTTATTTCACATTATCATAGTATTGGCTTTCTTGATTGCTGCCTAACTGTTAGATATGGTATTCCAAATTCATAGAAAACTTTTTTGAATATTTCCATTTAATTTTCTTAATATTTTCTTTTCATTTTCCAAAAGGAGATAAACATTGGAAATACATGATTGTCTTTTTGTAAGAAGATTTGATTGTCTTATTTTCATAATGTTCACTCAGGCAAATGAGACAGCGTTTTTCTTTAAAATTACACATTTTTTTGCGCTCTTTAAAGTATAAGCTTGACAACAAAACATAAACAAACCACACATTTCTCTGATGTGAATTTTCACCATGCATCGCTGTTGTATTGCCTGCGGAAAATTTTTTAGGCAATTGCTTATTCCTATAATTCTTATTTACGTGTGACCGCAATTTTCAGTTTGGTAGGAGTTCACATATTTGCATGAAATTTCAAAGTTTCCAACTTTCTTTCTTTTTTCGTAATAGGTTTGTTTTATATTTTCATTTTCTAGATAAGAATTGAGTCCAATGGCCTACGTTCCATATACTTAAATAATTGATATCCCTCGACCCTTGGTTGCTTCTGTGAAATTTGTCTGTTTATCAATAGCAGGCCAACAGTTACAGAGCAATTTCATAATAAAAAACCGTGGCGTGATTATTACATAAAGTATTTTTTTGAAAGTGTTGAATAAACCTTTTTGAGTGCTTTTAATGGAAGTAATGAAGCTATATTTTTCTCCTCATTCAGCATCCGTAAGTTTTAATACTTGTTTTTTTTCTTATGCTATTAGTCCGAGAAAGACTTCTATTTTTCCGGTTAGAGCGCTACATCAGCCTCTTGATAATGCGGGCGGCCTGTAATTATTATCTCCATCAGCCTAAAGTTGTCATTAAATTGGCAGTTATTGCCTAAAATTTATTCCAGCTCTGGATTTTGTTCTATTCTTGCAGTATTTCAGTTATTTCCATGTCATTTTAGTATGCATAGAAACAATCTATGCTATGTGTTAGTCACATTGAGCCTGATAAGAATGTAAATAATTAATTTATGATTTTGCTGTTCTCAGGTTCGTTATTAACACCTGCAAGAGATTGAAAGAGAAGAAGTCATATCTAGTGTGGAATGCAGTTGGTTGTCTTGGAGCTTCAGCTATGATGGATCTTGTGAAAGAGGTATAAATTTAATGCTAAATATTCCCTTGTATATTTCGATGGGCTTTGAATTTTAAGGCAATTCACTGTTTAAAGTAAGGTTTATGTAATGCACAGTAGCGAAAATGATTATTAAATGCTTAGTCACATTGTTAAGCTGGCTAAATTAGGCTCTTAAAGTAAGGTTTATGTAATGCACAGTAGCGAAAATGATTATTAAATGCTTAGTCACATTGTTAAGCTGGCTAAATTAGGCTCTTCTGGTTCTATTTGCATATAGTTTAAACATTTTACACTATCTTGTTTCTTGTTTGGTTTTTTTTTTTTTCTTATGATTTTTTTGAATCTCTAGATTGTTTTTTTCAATATTTGAAATTATGTCATTGCTAAATGATTACCAGTTTGAGAGATCATTTCATCTGTTGTTTTATTTTGCATGGCGCTAAATATTTCCAATTTGCAATTAATATGGAAGTGCTTTGTTCTTGTCATCAATTTTTGATATTAATGCCTTGGCTGCAATGTCATGGGAGTTAGAATTTTCTGTAAGTTGCAATGGGGATTGATGAGAGTAATTTGTATCCGTGCTGTAAGTTGGATAATATTTGAGAAGGGTTGTTTGTTTAAGATCGAATTCAGTCTATTTAAATTTGGCAAATTTTAGTTGCCTATAATCCTCGATATGACAATTTCCACTTTGTGATATGCATTTATTTTCGATTATTTTTGTAGTGAGTCCTTAAAGACTAGCCTATGGAAAAACTAGCTTAAAATTGAACTTTGTCTTGCTTGTTCAGGAGTGTCGAAAGAACTGCGTGTAGTAAGATTTTATGCATCGTAAGTTTGCTTTTAGTTGATAGTGTAATGATGAATGATGGCACATCATTCTGTAGATGAGTGAAAACAATCTACTTTTTTAATGTTTTGTGCCTGTTTATTTAGGACGAGTTTTGATTTTCTTAAGTAAAACTCATTTTCAGACCAAAAAAATAAAAACCCAACAAAAAATCGGGGCCAAATAAACATTAATTTGTTTATTTATAATGTTCATTATCATGTCTAATTCCTTCAGACCAACCACAGCCTATATTTCAACCTGCAGTAGGTTATGCCAGCAACAAATAATTGGCTTAAGGCTAATGATAATGATGGGCATTAAGGTTATTCATTTTGAGTGTAACTGAAGTTGCTTCTTAAACCTAGGTGGATGCCATTCAGCATTGCGGGGGACAAAAAACTGCAGATGGAAAGCGATTCCGTACCGGTGGTGGTGTTTTATGGAACATTTTAAAGACTCGCGAGCCAAAAGTATACAAAGAAATAATGGCAAAGGGCAAGGAATTTGAGGTATGGAAGCAGTTGGATTGATAATTTCTGGGTCTTGCAACATTATTCAACTCATTCTTTAATTTGTATTAATTATGCTGATTGTAATAACTTCGCACTCTTGCACCATCTCATCTTGCCATTCAACAAGTTTCAGAGCACTTAGATTATATAGTTTGTTTTTGAAATTTACAGGTTGGCTGTTGCTATGTGTATTAACATGCTAGGCATACTAAATAAAGGTCATGATTTTTAATTTCTTACATAAGGGTCATTCGAGCAACTTTGTCATTGATAGAACAGTTGGTGTCAATTTTTAATAGTCGAGAGACTAAATTGGAGCGCTACAAAACTTTGAGAGCAAATTGGCTGCATCTGAATAGTCGCTCGCGCGCGCACAAATACATCAAAATTCCTTTCAAAAGAAACTAAACTTAAAAATTGAATCTCAGCCATTTTCTTGCCTCTCTGTTCCCATCACTCCCTTCCAAACTTATCTTTGTTCCAGCTTCTGTCTTGCATGAACCTCTACCCACTCTTCCCTGTACCGATCTAGCGTGTGCATTCGCTCTTTCTTTACCCTTTTCCCCTTTTTTGTGCAAACAATTCTTGTGTATTTGCATCTCTTAACACCCAAACTTTCATATTTACTTCTACAACACTCAAATTTTTAACATTACATGAGAAATACCACTATTATAACTTTTTAAAAGTAAAATACACATTTCATGCATAGGTCATAACATATTAAACTTTAGGTGTTGAATGTGTTGATACATTAAGAATTATGTTACTTTTTCTCAAGGCATTTTCTCTTCTAATATTCTTTTTTCAGCTGACCTTTTCATGCTGTGCAGAAGCAATTTAGGCAGCCCCAAAATAAGCAGAGTTCAGGCAAGAATGTACTTGCATCTCCGGTCCAAAATGTTCCACATAATGCATCAGAGTCTCCAGTATCCGTTTCCTCTGAGAATTTACCATCCTCACATAAGCACGAGACTTTCAAGCCTCATGAAAGGCAATCGTCTGTGCGAGATAGAATAAGAGTACCGGTTTGTTACGACGACGGCTTGCTCGAAGAGGGTGAGATCTTTGAGCCCTAATTTCTTCTAATAGCTCTAATTCCAAGCAGACCGGATCAAACCACGAGCCTAAGTTCCTCAATTTTGCTGCACCAGGATGTCACACTTCTGCTTCTGCTGAGGTTTTTTTTTTTTAATCCGTGACTATCATCAGATTTTTGAAGATTAGATCATGCAATTTTTGGTTGATTAATGCGTTAGGTTGTGTATGTTTTTTGCTGTTCATTTTGTGTTTATTAAAACAACACCGAGTTCTGACAAAATATTTGTAACATTTACATATTTATAATTTCTAAATTTACACAACCTAAAATAATTTTCATATCGCATTAAAAGTACCATTTTTCATGCATGGATATGATGGTATGAAGACATGTAAACCATAGAAATTTGTATGTAGAAATTGAAGTTTAGGTGTTAGACATGTAAAACCATAGGAATTGAGTTGGTATGTGTGTTAATCTTACCACATAGTTTTTTTCTCATGGAACCACCACTGACGCTGATACATGCTTATCATAAATTCTACAGAAGATATCACAAAAATAGAAAGAAAAAGCATGTAAAAGCACGCATCTTTGTATCATGTGCAACCTCTTTACATACATAACATTCAATTCTTATGCATCTACATATCTAACGCCGCCCGCACTTATAAGCTTCCCCAAACGGGCTCTAAGTTTCTTGACCAGACAATTTGAATCCATGACAGAAACTATATCATTGTTGGATATAAATCATGCTTCACGAAAACAAGAGAATCGAAAGACTAGAATTGCAAAAATGACCATTCAAGATTCAAGTGAAATGACAAATTTCAAAAATATCCTGATTCATGACTTATATGAAACGGCAACGTTGAAGACCATATTAAAATATTCAGCATATGGTGGCACATATTTGTAAATCAAGATTTACATGAAATTGGACCAAGGGCAGGAATTTATGATTTCTTGTATAGAAGAATGGAAACTAGCCAGAAACTTAGATGACTTCAAAATTTACATAGATACCACTTCGACTCTATGTATTTACATATGTAACAACTAAACTTCAATTTTTACACATATGACATGTTACCTATGCATAAAAAAAGTGATTATTTTTTTATACGATATGAAAGATTTGGGTGGTATAAATGTAAAAAGTAAAATTTAGTGGTATGTATCTAAATGCCCAAAAAAGTAATTGACATACATCAGATTGGACCGAGTTGCAAAATATAATTCCATCATTTTCATGCATTTCTCTCTGTTGCAACAACCTTTGCAGCTATCAGATTGGACCGAGTTGCAAAATATAATTCCATCAATTTCATGCATTTCTCTCTGTTGCAACAGCCTTTGCAGCTTCTTCTGCAATCCAGCGGAATTATCAATAAAGCACAAAACGTAATAGAATTTTGAAGGGCTATTTACATAAATAGCACCCAATTCTATATATTTACATATGCAACATCTAAACTTTTTACATCTATGCCATCTAAAAATTTCATATCACATAAAAATATGACTATTTTACATTGCAAAAGGTGAAATACACATTTTTAATTGATGATGGATTGGAAGTATTTATGGATGATTTCTCTGTATTTGGAACATCATTTGACGCATGCTTAAATTATCTTGAAAAAGTTTTGAAGTTATGCGAAAGAACTAATTTAGTTCTTAAATGTCAATTTATGGTTGCAGACGGAATTGTGAGGGCTGATGTTCCTTTTAGAAGGGCAGAATCCAAGTATAGTGTTGAACAAGTAGGGGTAACTGTTGAATTTTATGGTGGCGAGCTCAATGGGGTCATTTATAGTGATCCTGCTACTGTGAAAAAATATGCTAGACGTGCCCAATTAGGTGAAATTTTTGAATTAGACCGGGCTACTTTGAAATCCGATGGTGTTTTTCGTAGCAGTCCAAGGGGTTGGTTCACTTTTGGGCATGCTACGTTCGCTTTGCTCTTCTTTTTCGGACATATTTGGCACGGCGCCAGAACCTTGTTCAGAGATGTTTTTGACGGTATTGATCCAGATTTGGATGCTCAAGTGGAATTTGAAACATTTCAAACTACGAGTATATATATATATATATATATATAAATGTAATTGACGAGCAATATTTAAAAAAAATATAATTGACTACAAAGTGACAAAGATTTATAATCAATTTAACTTATTAATTTAAAAATAAATTAAAAATGTATTAAATTATATTTAAATGATGTTTTAATATAAATAATAAGATTTAAATCTCACAACCCTTAACATCCTATGTTTGTGTGACTAGAGTTTGTCAAAATGATTTTTTCGTTAAGCAAACGAGTCTAACATGAGCACATTTTTTTGTTCGACATATAAACGAGCCGAACACAAGCTTAGCATGGACTCGCTCGTGTTCGGCTCATTTACACCCTTAGCATATATGTAAAAAATGAATTTTAGCTGTGGGATATATAAATACATAGAATTTAAAAACTTTGAAACCCCCTTGAAATTTATGTATGCTTTATTCTTTATATTGATCGATCAATAGAGACAAAATCACTTAGCCAGCCATATACGTTACCTGTAAAAGGACATTTACACATGAAAAATTTTACATTACTTCATCAAAACAAAATGGAGGTATTTCAGTTGTAACATCTTGATATTTATAGTTATAACTTCGGTTGTTTGAATGATGAGTCGATTTGTTTTTGTTGGGTGAGTCGTGCCTCACTTGTCACTTTGACTCAAGTCTTACGAGTCCTATGTCTCGTTTACCTAGTCGGTTTGTCGCCTCAGCCGAATACCCATATTTACAAGGTTTTCGGCAGATCTTATCATTGCCTGTGTGAGATATCCAATGAGACTTGCTGCTATGATGAATTACGTCTACCCCTTAGCGGATCTTATCGCTATCGAGCGAGGGACCATCTCTAGGTCTTTGACCTGTCTCGGGTTCAAAGACGTGGTTTCACCCTCTTTGAGACGACTTGTCGGTCGATTGTTTACCTTTGAGGGAAACTATATAATCTTGACAGCTCGTTCTCTTTGAGATTCATGTTGATAATTCTAATCTCTACACAAACAAAAATGTTTATATATATATATATATATACTGACAAAAA